AAAAGATAAATAATATTATAAAAGATAAATAATATTATTGGTTAAGTCTGTGTGGTGTCTGAATAACAGGGCAAATAATTTTTTTTTCGTAAAAAATTTCGTTTTTTTGAAAATTTTGGCCCGTTTGACCTTGAAATAAAGGTCAAAGGTCAAATCCAAGGGCATATTTAAAATCTACACATATGACTTATGGAAAGCCGTCTGTAGAAATTTTTCCCATAATTCCTTCCGTAGGGTAGATAATTAGCATTTAATTTTGCCATTTTTGGACAAGGGTGCATTGCAATGAGTGCCACCCCTAGACCCCAATACCGACAAAGCCCAAATTTTATGTGGAACGAGTTGAGATTATAGGTGACCTAAATCCAAGAGATGGGTAGGGAGGCCCTTACCGTCTAGGAGGAGAAGCGGTAACGGTAACATGGCAGCGGAGCCAGCGGAGCCAACAGAACAATCCGGACGGGACTAAAACCATGTGTACCGCCAGCACCAACGCTGGTGGTGCAATAAATAATGTGTACCATGAAAGAAAGAAAAAGGCAAAAAGCTTGTCATAACCACTAGCACCTGTCTGAGAGTCCTGGCCACCAAGCTTTCTATGACCGACCCTCGGTCATCATGAAGTAAGTGGACCTCATCAATAATCAGCAACTTGACCAGCTGTGACAGGGCCACATCTCCAGTGCTTTTCCTTGTCACCACATCCCATTTCTCTGGTGTTGTCACCAGCATCTGAATACCAAATAATAACAATAATATTAATATTTATAATCATTGCAGCAATGAAATGAGGTCATTTCCATGTTTTAAGTTTAGCACTAATATCAAACCTTTGTATCTTCTCTATATCTTTGACACTATTCTCTTGTCACATCTTTATTTATTTCAATCTATAAAAAGAATTAGTTAAAATAATGCTAACAGAAGAAGGAAAAGATTTCCCCCTTCACTAAACTTCCCCAATTTCCTATCATTTCATTTCATACAAAACTCTTTCTAATCCCTCCTCCTTTATACGTAAAGAAAGAGAGAATGTAAAATCGAGGAAGAATCCTGCCCTTATAAATATACAATATCAATGACTGCTGCAGCTCTCACCTGTGTTTGCATGATCTCTTGCTTGGTCAACTGCATGTCCCCAGTGAGTTCTTTGACCGTTATTCCCAGTGGTTGCAGTCTCTTACCAAAGTTTCGCACCATCTCTGCTGCCAGGGCTTTCATGGGGGCGACATATACCACCTGCAAGGAAGTACAAACTTTGAAACTGGTCTACTTCATATCACTATTAAACCACTTGGAGGGCAAATAATTACAAATTTTGCTAATATTTTTTTGTTCACAGCATGTGGTAAAGTAAACTCTCAGTGCTTATTGCAACCTACTAGGAATATGCACATCTAAATATAAGAATATAGTTATAATGGGAATGCATTTTCATGAATTATTTTCCCTCTTTCTTTCCAATTCCTTTTAATGAACAAAATTACTTTACATCTTTCATTTAAATATGGATGTTCTCTTTGGATCATGTAAGCAGGCAATTTCAGAAAAAAAATCATAAATCAGTAATAAATTTTTTAAGAAAAAATAAATTGTTATATTATTTATTTTTCTTTGTCAAAACAACCAAGTATAGATTAAACTTAGCAACTGCACTCTGGGATATCCCTTACCTTAAACTCGTCCTTTTTTATCACCCCCTGGTCAATATGCTGCTTCACTTCATGCAGAATAGTCAGCATGGCTATGTTAGTTTTCCCTGCTCCAGTGGGGGCACAGATCAGAAGATTCTCATTGGTTTTGTAGGCAGTATCAAACACAACAGACTGAATTCGATTCAATGAATCTGTGCCTTGAAAAGCAAGCCTGGCAATCTGAAAAGGTTCATTTTTTCAAGATTATTGTGTTATAATGCCTATGATTGCATGCTTATAATTGAAGAAACTAAATATGTATGCTTGTTGCTGTATCTATTACATTTTCAGTGACATTTCCATAACTGTTATACATTAAAGTTAATTAAGACCTCTCCAACTGCTCTACCACAACAACAGTCTGAAATAAAAAGCCTAAATTCTTACACAGATTTTGACAGTCATTTCTCACCTCATCAAGAGCAGATATTTGCACACGCTGACACCCAACATTCACTGGAGCTTTCTCAGAAGCTGGAAGGTTTACCTCTTCATACATCTTACAGTTGACTCGTTCAAAGCCCTCTGGTAGGAGCATCTATAATAATGATAACAATATAAATACATTTTTCTAGGACCATTATAGTAATGACTGTATAAGAGATCTTATCTATCATAGACACAGGTATCTACATCTTATTTAACCTCAAATGTTTCAAATATGTACTTTAAATACATTTATTCTAATTCTTATGGTTGTGGGTAGCAATCTCTTTATAATATGGATAACAAAGGTTTATTCCAAACTAGAAATTTTTGGAAACAAATTGTTCAAAATTAGTTTATGTTCTAAAGTCTGTCCCTTTACATGTCATCTGGTTACATTTAATCAACGCCTTAACCAATACTGATGTTGAAGTCAATTTAACTTATTATGCATAATACATAATGCATAATACAACTAATCCAACACCAAATTAGATCTCATGACTATCAAGTTAAACCATAATATCAATTACCCTTATGAAGTCAAACTATTTAATCAATTACCTTGCTTCCTCCCACAAAAGCAGATGATTGTTGTGCTTCAGCAAAACTGTCAAAAACATTTGGGTATTGAATTCTCTCTGGTGCTCTTGAAGACCTCTGGGAGAACAGAGGAGCAGTTGCTGCAGTAATTAATGCCTGCTCCCTGAACAAAAAAAATCAACATTTAGTCTTGAGAATCAATTACTTATGATATAACTATTTCATACCTTTTAAATGACAATTATGACATCTATTTGAAAATATAAACAACATACTCATACACAATCCCTGTATGAAAAGTATAATCCTCTAAACTAACTCTAACCATCTGTCACCCCGAAATAAATACATGAAGACACAAAATGACCACATCAGATTTATAAGCTTCCAGTATCCTCATTGTCAGTCACATGATTAGATTGCATTGTCATATCTGAAAATGCCTATAATAGTCTTTCATTGCTGTTTACCTCTGTGCTCTCAATATTTCAGGATCAAACCCCAGGGCTTGCATCAGAGGTTCATCTTCTTGCAACTTCTTGTTGTCCAACTTCGACATTTTCTTTTCTTCCCTTCTCAGCTGCTTTCGAAGTTGCTTCTCTCCCTCAGACTTAACAGAAAATATTCAATTCATCACTTATTTAACTGATAGCAAATTTTAAAAAATAATGAATAAATACAAAATCTGTTCATAAATGTTTGCCCCTAGATTTATATTAAAGAATTTTTTCTATAAGTTTTAAGAAGAAGTTAATAAATTACATCCTTTAAATATTTTCAACTGTCCTTGATGAGAATCTGATCAAGGGTGATGGTAATACACTTACCTGTATAGTAACTTGACAACCATAATTAGGCCTTGCAGATGGATCTGTCTTTCTTCCTGAAAAGTAAATATTAACTAAAGTGAAAATGCATGTGCATCTTTTAACACACAATGTCTTTCATTAAGCAAATAACCATTTGGGGAGAAAGTCCATGTTTTTTTTAACAGGAGAGAGTCTGAATTATTGGTCTTAAAAAGAGAATTACTCGCTACAGCTATCCCACCTGTGCTCTTTGCCATCATGTAATCTGTCCCTGTGCTTAAAGTTGCTGCAATAACATCTTTTCTATGCTCTAATAGCTTCAGAATCAATTCAAATCTGTCAAAACCTAAAAGCTCAAACAGCTGAAAAATAAATAAAATTGAAAACTTTAATAACAATGTTTTAATATTTAAAGAAGCTGCAATTCATTACTTAAAGTATAAAAAGTATTGTCACATTATACATTTTAATGTTTACCAATGACTATTTTTTCACAAAACAAGAAAAATTTCTCCTTTTTAATACTAAACAACTGTATTTTACTGACATGAACTACACTATGCTATTGTTTATTACTGACAGTTACCTCATTCTGAATCTCTTCATCAGATCTTGCAGAGCTAAGTATATCAAATACAGAAGCACAGATATCAAGGACTGACACCCCACTGTCCTCAGAAAAGCTTTTGGCTACCTCCATCTGCAGCCATTTGCCATCATAACTTAACCCTGCTGCTTGAGACGCATCCTCTCCCATGCCGTACCTGAGATCGAACTCATGGTTAGCTTCTTCTTCATATTCATCATCTGTTTCTGAATCTGAAAAGCTTGTTTCCAGCTGTGCGTCAGCATTAAAATGAATGTTTTTCCCAAACTCCTCTATCCCTGTAACAGTTGCTTTCTTGTCACTGACACTGGGTGTTGCTAATTCCTCCAGACCATAGTCTGGGAGAAGGTCTACCACTTTCCTCACTGCATCACAAGCACTTGTCGCTGCACTTGCAGGAAGGTGACCGAATAAACTGCGTAATTTTGAGCTTTCCCTTTGTCCAACTGTTTTTGTGGTCTTGAAGGTGTCCACAAGAAATGCAGCTGCACCCTCTACGGTGCCTGTATCAGAGTCACTGCCAACTGCAAAAAGATTGATTTTCATGAAAAAATTCTGAATCAATCAAAGAATCTAGTGTTTGTTCACCAGTTGAGAAGAAAACAAAACTTCTAAAACCATATGGGAAACGTGTTTACTAGTAAATGTATGTACAAAAACTTCTTAGCACAGTTGACCGCATGCCTTAAATGCCCACAAATGTCTCGTAATACCTACCGAGGGTTTTTGCTGCTTGCAGAAGCTGCCTTAAATGAGCATTAACATCTTTTTCATCAGCTTTAGCATGCTTGGATATGAGCTGATTCAGTTTTTTCCAGGACAACCCCTCTTTAGCTTGCTCCTCTCTTGCCAGCTGTCTTCTTCTTGCCAGATCTGAGGACAAGTCGGCATTCTGTCCCGTGTCTGAATCTTGGGCAGACACAGAAGAGAACGCTCTCAGTGCGCCCGTCAACCGTGGAAGAGGCATCGTTTCACTAGGAAGTTAATATCATAGCATTACGTATGAGACAGGTAATATAGCATATATCAATGAGCTTGATGGAATAACATAGCGTGTAAACCGCAATTGAAAAATAAGCTCCACGTTATCAAAATGGACCTTCCCGTAGGCAAATTTCATAATTATACATCTTTGGTAAGGTTTGGAGAAGATAGTGCAAATGAACATTATTATGTTTATTGAATCACCAGCTGCCAAACAATTTGCATCTACACCACAACAAACGCAATCTTGAAAATGTTCGGAAGATTTTGCCGATCAGTGTCTATAAATGTCTCCAGCTGTCTGTAAATAAGTCTCAGTAGTTTAATGAGGGACAAACAATTTCTGAATGTTATGCTCAAACTTGCCAAACTCACCGTAGATCCAAAATGGAAACCGGCAAATTTCTCACCCACTTGCTGATATCAACATTGCCTACACATGGTGAAACTAGACCGGAAGTTAAGATTGTAGTTATCTGCGCATGTGCTTCACTTGTCACTTTTCACTTTGGGCTCACTTCCAATCAATGAAACTATCGTTCTACGTAGATCGATCCAACTCTGCAAATACTATATCTGAACGAAGTCAGATTAACAAATTTAACACGCCTCCTCTTCGCATTGAGTTGAAATACATAAAAAGCTGGTGAATATACTGATTATAAACCAGTCCGTTTTAAATAAGAGGATTGCGCCCTTAAATTTTAAGTTAAAAATAAAATTGCTAGGCCTACTTCGTACGGGGAGTCTACCTGGTCAGACATGGTGTGGGCTGTTGGTGATTAAAAGGAACTTGAATAAAAGGTTATTAGCGGTTTTCATCTATATTTATTTTTATGAAATGGTACTCGTCCGCGTCTTGTGTACAAGATCCACTGGCCTTGAAGGGAGATAACACAAAAGAATTAATATTAAACGATAACATTTATTTGTCAATGTGAAGAGATAGGTCTGACAGCCAAATAAAATTATTTTCAAAAGGAGAAAAACATTTATGCATTTAAGTCCAAAACAAATTGTGGGATTTTTTTCCATGTGGAACATGTGTGACAGGAATGGTAGTCCTTGAAATGGAAGTCCGGGGTCCCACAATGTGACATGAAGTAAAGGTTAGGGTTAGGCGGAGTAGGGCCTATTGGGAACATATGTAGATATGGGACGATGTCACATGTACAGAGCAAATTTAAAAGCATGACGGACGAGTGGTTCGGGGCCCGCTGAAGAGCCCCGAAAAAATTTGGTAGAGGGAGAAATAGGCAAAGACCATTTTCAAATATATTATTTTCGGGAAAAGATGTTAAAATGGCCACGTAATCGTTGTTGTCTCCATTGGAAATCATACAAAACGAAAACTCCAAATGTTAATTGAAAATGTTTCTTTCAACGAACCTCTGTCTTTTAAAGCCTACATAATATTTAGAAAGAATGGTATCAAAGTAAAAAAAAAATCATGTGTGACCAATACAACTTTGCTCGGGATGACAAGGGTAGCCGACAGTTATATAGAAAAGAGCCGTTTGTCCTGCCCATATTAAACTATTCCTACTGATTGGCTTAATTACATAAAATACTGTGGATCTTAGGTTTTTAGATACAGACAGAGTCATAAAAACGCTTTATTCGATTATGGTTTTTGAAAGTAGTTTTTGTATTTAAGTAGTATATTTTAACAACAAGTGGACTTCAGTTGTATTAAAAATGTACTGTTAATATTTTGACAGTGAACATTTGTGAGCAGTTTTAGCCAAAACCTCTCACCCAAAATGGGCCAAATCTGTTGTAATTTGCATAACAATAAGTTGCCCGTCGTAGTGCAAGCTGAATACTCACTCTGCAGTTGGGCACAGATGAGCGAAGACGCAACATTATGTGTGGTGAATTCACAAGTTTAAGCTTTTATAAGACGTAGAAGCAAGTATATGGTAAGTAGCACTAATTCTTCAATAACCCCCTCAAGAAAACACAAGTGCAACAGAATCGTAGAAAATTTATTATAGATACTAGTAGCGCGATTTCTTGTAATATTATGCTCATCGTTACTGGTATGTCACTCACAATGTCAGAATATGTTGGTTACAATGCTTTGGGACTACACAAGTACAGGAGAAATGGTGCTATCAGCTGACCATTGATGAAATAATAAGTTTGCTTGAAATCTTTCAAACTAGCGATATTTAATTCTGCACGTGTGAAATCTTTGTATGACCCCTATTTCTTTTGGTTTATATTTATGTACTGTAATGGATTGTTAAATTTACTTGGCAAAATTTTTAAAATACATCATTTTATCATTATTATTATTACTACAAGAATAAGGGTCCACATACCTATTTAAGTTCTCTTACTTGTTTCAGATTACACTTGGGCAACCCATTTATGCTTAAAAAGATTGACATGCTATCAAAGATCTTTTTGTAAGGTAAGTGTTTTTAATATAATAAAACACGCGTTCACGCACATGTCGATTGCTCATAAAGCGATGGTTTACATATGAAAGTTTACGCAGGTTGACTACCGTCTCCAGTGTGCCGTATTCTGTTCCTCCATTACACGACCAACTACGTATATTAAAACTTGATTGTACTTTCATCCAAGTTTATATGTGTAATTTATTTCATATATTCTTGAAAGAAAATATTCAAATAAGATGTTTTGCGCTTCTCTAGAATAAGTCAAAATGATCTCAGTATGTCAGTTGAATCAAAATTTCTATGCGTTATTTTGTCATTTCAGAAGCCCACGGAGAAAATGTGCAACGTGGGCCTGCAAGCAACAAGGTCTTTGGTTGACATATGTCATGCTCAATTTCATGTATCTCTTATATCAAATCCGAATAAATATTGCTATAATCCCTCCTTATTTTTGTCATATTGATATAAAATCCACAGTACAGCAATATTAAAATGGGAAAAGGGGAAATATTACATAAAATATGTTCGAGTTCAATCTGGAAAAATTGTGTAATTTTATTTTGGGAATGACGATTTTCTATGAAACCTGGCGATATTTAAAAATGAAATGGTTTTAAGCTTTGTAATTATGTATTTTTAAATTGGACATTAAAGGTCTAACCCGCTGAAAGAATAACTAAATTTAAATATAAAGTATAAATTAACAATCTTGCAATCTATTCATAAAATATTTAATAATATGTTTGTAGCAACATGCATGTCACCCCTCAAAAGAAATGGGGTCATCCACCTGTCACCCCTCAAATGAAGTGAACTCGCCCCACCTGTCACCCCTCAAATGGAATGGAATCGTCCTACCTGTCACCCCTCAAATGAAGTGAACTCCCC